GTTTTTGTGTGTGTGTATAAAAGTTAGTCCATATATGGGATATCTGGGAAAACTCTAGATAGATTTAAAGAATGGATTGTGAGAAACAGCTATAAAAAGGTAATTGGCCAAAGCATATCATAATTTATTCATTCACCCAATAAATACTTTTTTGAGGGTGTGCCAGCCCTTCTGCCAAGACATAGAAAGAGATTACATTGTCAGTGTCCTCAAAGAATCTCCACAGACAATTTATAATGACAGACAAATAAACCAACACTTATAATACAGAGACATGAGGGCTGCAGTTGAAGGTCTTTCAGTATCATGAAGAAGTCTGTAGGAGAGAAGTTAGGAGAGAGGTGAAGAGGCTGGGAATGTGGTCAGGTGAGGCTTACAAAAAGACATAAAGTGTGAATGAACTGAGTCTTGAGGGACACTTGGAAGGAGGTCAGACTGACGATGGGGATGGGACTTCCAGGAAAAAAAAAGAAGTGCTAGAAAAGAAATGAGAGAATGTGGTCCATTCAGGAAAGCGTATAAAGCACATGTGAGGGTACACTTGGGAACTGGTGGTGGATGAGGGAGGAGAGAGGTAGCCAGTGGGCAAACACAAATGGATTTATAATTTATTCTTAAGGCCATGAGGATACATTTCATTTTATATAGGAGAGGAGCAGATTGGCCAGCTTTTTGGGAAATTCAGTCCCATAACCATGTTGGAGGAAGGAGTATGGACTGGGTGAGAGACCCAAACAGCTCACCACTGATACAGTTTTAGGCCAAAAATGAAAAAAGACTGAACAAAGACAGTGGCAGAAAGGAGTTATTAACTGTTTGGAGCCACTTAGATGAGTTGAATGAATTAAAATTAAGTGACAGACTAATAATAATAACATTAAACTTTTTCTAAATAAAACCAACACGTGGAAAACAGGTTGTTAGGATGGGACTGTGATGGGCTCAATAATATCTATGTCCCAATCTCTGGAACCTGTGAATATGTGACCTTATATGGTAAAAGTGACTTCACAAATATGATACATTAATTATCCTGGATTATCTGGTGGGTCCAATGTAATCATAAGTGTTCTTATAAGAAAGCAACAAGAGGAGCAGAGTCATTGGTAGTTGTGACAATGGAAGCAAGAAGCTGAAGTGATGTGAGGAAGGAATCCAAGCTAAGAAGTGTGAGTGGCTGCTTCTAGAAGCTGAAAAAGGTAAAAGGTAGGAAGACAGATTCTACCTGTATTCAAAACCTCCAGAAGAAAAACACCCTTACCAATAGCATGTCATTTTCTTCCAGCATCAGTAATGAGGTGCCATTCTCATTTATATTTCGCTTAAACTTCTATTCTTTCATACTGGAAGTTTTTACAAAACTATCTTGAAATCTTGGTGTTCAGAAATTTTGGAAAAAATGTCCAGTTGCAGACCTTTTAAAAACTCATTCTGCTTATCATGTTGTGGTACATCTGATCTAGAGATGACCCTTCTCCACGTCTGAATATTTTGTTCTAATTGTTTTTTGATTATTTCTCTTCCTTTCTTTAAAAAATTGTTTTCAGACTTACTTAGTTGTATGAATATTAGACCTCCTAAAGTAACTCTCTGTATTTCTTAAGTTTTTCTTATATTTATCAACTATTTTCTATTGTACTTTTTGTAATGTACTCTCAACTTGGTTCTGTTTTTTAAATTAAGTTCTTTATTTCAAATATCATATTATAAATTTCTAAAACTTCTTTATTTTTCTTCCCATCTTTTCCATAGTTGCATGTTTTTGTTTTATACATGTGTTATCTCAATCTCCCTGAAGTTTTTAAAAAAATATTTTCTTCTATTTACTAAATATTATCTTGTTCCAGATTAGCATGCAGGAGCCTTATCAGGAAGTATCCTTGGGATCAACACCTGAGGAAGGGAAGAGAAGTAAAGGATTCACGATTGAGCCGAGGGAAAAGTTGAGTTGCAATGCAATCTCGGTGGAGTTTTCATCCAAACTTTAGGGAGTTCTGAAGCTGAGATTGTGAAGCAGGTTCACTGTGCTCTGATTACTAATTTATCTCTGTCCGGTGACAGAGAACATATTCATGTGCGGCAAGTTACATGTAGCAAGTTTATTACTTACAGATAGGCAGCAAGGGACAACAGAAGCCTAGGATTCATTATGAGTTGGTCTGCCAAAGCTCAGAAAGCTACTTGGGCTGCAAGGAGATCCCCTGCATCATAGCTCAGGGAGCCTGGGAAGCAGCCCACCCTAGGTCTCAGGATCACATGATCACTGGGCTAAAGTGTTGAAGGACGTCCTGTTCTAGTAGAAGATAGGGACAGAGCCCAGGCTCTTCTGGACAGCTTCTCTCCACACCCATCTCAGAAAGTGGCATTCCAGCACATTCTATAGTTACTCTTAAGCAAGAAATAGGGGAGAACAGAGCTAATCCACAGCCACCTAGAGAACTATCCTGCAGGGATGACTCTTCAGTGTTTCTCCACATTGGCAAAAAGAGGCCGGGACATTTTATATCCATGTTTATCAATCACTGGATATGGTAGCCATCAGGAAGGAGTATGATCTTGGATAAGGTGGCTATCTTCAGCCAATGCAATTCCCTTATGGCTTTCTGAAGACAGCTCTCCCAGCAACTGGAGAATAAGTCAGTTTCTGAAGAGGGTTCTGTGTGGTTCATCTCAACATCCATCACATCTCTGCTTTTTGTTTTGTAAAGTTTGTCAGATTCTAATTGTTCAGTTTTTTTCTCTCTTTGATGCTATAATTTTTTCCTCAAATGTTTGGCGACTTTAGGTGTTCATTTACATGTATGCCTGAGGGTCTGGGGAATTAATATGACTGACTCCCTATTTGTTTTCCCTAATAAGGCTCTTTCCTGAGTGGAAGGAGATCCCCTGCATGCCCCATTTGCATCACAGCTCAGGGACCCTGGGAAGCAGCCCACCGTAGGTCTGTGTGTGGTGGGCACACAGACTGGCAGGACTCACTTTCAGATGCTCAGGCAGGAAAGACTCTGACAGTCCCAAATGCCAGAATGTGAACAGCCTTATCTGGGGATGCTACTATCTCTGTTATTATCCGGGGGTGCTACTATCTCTGTTATTATCCCAGATGATTTCAACATCTCTTTGGAAGTTAATTATCTGATTTAAAGCACAGAACGTGGGGCAAATTCTAATTCTGTATGCCATATGAATCTGTGTGGGAGAGGCAGGAATGGGGTTCCTGAACAAGGAGCTGTCCATATTCCAATATTTCCCAAACTTGTTTCCTATAAAAATCACATGGAACCCTTGCTAAAAATCCAACTTCCTGGGTCATATTGCCAGACTCACTGAACTAGAGTCCTCAGGGATAAATTTAGAGATTCTGTCTGTTTAACAAGAACTCCAGGTTAATCTTGTGATCAGTTGAGGTTTGTAACACTGTCTGTGGACAGTCTTTCAATCAGTCACCTTCCTTACCCACCCCCAATCTTTGTACCTGTTCCTTTGGCATCTCTCTGTGGCTTCACGGCCAGGAATAGTGCTTTTCTTTCTGTTAGCGCTTTCTCCTATGTTTGTTTGAAATGGAGGCTCCCACTTTTGTTTGCCTATAAATATGGTAGCTTCTACCTGCTGCTCATGTTACAGAAAGTCATCAGCCTCTCTGGTCTTCTTGTTCTCAGCACTGTTATAAATTTACTCCCTTTTGTATTTCTTTTTCAATGAGTTTTTAGTAAAGAAAGAAGGTAAACATGTGCAGTCAAAATACCCTCTTGAATCAAAACTCAATAATTACACTTTGGAAAAATCTCCTGAGCTAGGCTATTGCTAATGTGCAATATAACAGACTGGATATGGGGATAAGGGAGGCAGGGCAGCCTTGGATAATACTCAACTGTCTGGTTTTAGAAATTGGGCAAATTTTTATGTATTTCACTAAAAAGAACAGAGAGGGGAAGGAACCATTTTGCTGGGGAAAGATAAGGAATTTAGTTTTTCACAAGTCCAGTTTGATATGAAGGCTTAGGGAAAAGATCTGATCGGGAAACCTATCTCTGTGAGTTGTTCATTCATTCATTTATTCATCAATTGACATTAGTAAAGCACCTGTTGAAGAGGCATATATTAAATGCCATGACATGGAACCAGAAATAGCTTATAGAGGATAGAAACAAATAACCAAACAAGTACATAAAATGTGATACAAGAAATGATACAGGAGGTTCAGATGCTATGCGAACTCACAGGAGAGGCACCAAACCTAGACCTGGTGATCTGGGAGGGAGCTGACATCTAGGCTGAGACTTACAAGACGAACTGGATGAGTCTGGCAAAAGAAAACTACAGAGGAAAGTTATTTGAGGAAGAATGAAGAGTCAGTAGGAAAGCTGAGATCCAAAACAGAATACCATTAGAAATTTCTGTACAACCAGTTTGTTGTAGAAAGGAAGGCAAGAGAGGCCAGAAAGGAATGCAAGGATGAGGTGACGTAGGACCTTATGCAATCGGAAGCCACTGGAGAGTTTTCTATAATCATCCTAAATGTGAATTTGAAACCTTGGCAATGGATGATGTCACCCAATGATTCCCCAGCTTTGGTCTGTATTAGAATCACCAAGAAACTTGTTAAAAATGCATCTACTATGTATAGCATCGTGTAAAGCCCTTTACATATGTTATCTCTTAAACCTCACCATCTCAGAAAGTGGGTGATGTTTATTTCCCAGGGTCACAAAGTTATTAAATACCGAAATTGAAATATGAACCCAAGCAATCTGGCTGCAAAGTCTCTGTCCTTTCTCCTGTACCATGTTGCCTCAAATACAAGCATTGAATAAAATAGACCCCTGCATTTCACAGAGAACACATAACGAGAATTGAGAATTTAAGAATTCTCAGGTTCACAGTGCCACCACAGGAAACAATTTACTCTCTTCCATACCTAGAGATTTTAACTCAGGAGAGTGGAAATGGGCCTAGGAGTCTGGATTTTTGCAAGCATTAACGATGTTGTTTTGTTGCAGATGGTCCCCTGACCCTGCTTGGAGTAATTTGAGAATGGAGTAGAGGTTGAGGATGAAAACTTAGAAGAGAATAATCCATGAAAATGAGAAGAAATGGTGGAAGAAATAGGAGGTAAACTTCAAGAGTATTGCTGTGGAATAGGAGAGAATTTGAAGAAAGATCAATAATATATAACATGCAATCAGCAAGACAAATTAGATCAGAGCTAGAAAGTGTCATTGGGCATGGTTATCAGTTCACTGGTAAGACTGAGAACTTTCCCTCCATATTTCCCTCTTAAGAAGATCTATTACTTCTTATTGTTGGTACTTCATCTAACTATGTCTAGAGATATTTACATTTTCCTCATATTTCTCCCTGTCCCATAGAAATAGTTAAAAATTTGATTTTGAGAAGGTCATTTTGGTCATGCATGGTGGCTCATGCTGGTAATCCCATCACTTTGGGAGGCCAAGGTGGGTGAATCACTTGAGGTCAGGAGTTCAAAACCAGCCTGTTTCAGTATGAAATCTGTCTCTATTACAAGTACAAAAATTAGCTGGGCATGGTGGTGTGCACCTGCAGTCCCAGCTTCTCGGGAGGTTGCTTGAGCTTGGGAGACAGAAGTTGCCTGAGCCAAGATCAGATCACAGCACTTCAGCCTGTTCGACAAAGTGAGACCCCATCTCAAAAAAAAAAAAAAAAGAAAGAAAGAAAGTCATTTCTCCATAGCTTACCTTCATAGGCATTGAATTTAAAACACCGGATGGCTATGAATGGCAGACTCACAAGTTTCTTACAAATGCTCGACATACTATAGGATTTGACTCTTTCAATATGGAAAGCTTAATTTGTTTCAACAAATGCTGCTCATTGATAAAGTCAGTAAAATACTTTGTACTGAAAATGCTACCACCCATGATAATTGAACTTGAAAAGAAGAATTGAACTACAACTTAAGAAAACCTCTGTGCCTATATTTAAATGTAAGCAAACAAAATTCTCAAAATTCTAGTTTAAGCTGGAGGTAGTTAATTCATTGTCGTGGATTATTTAAATGCTTTCAAAATAAAAATAAACAGACTCTGCTTTGAAGTCATGCCGGCTTTGCAGGCACCAATGGTAAGTGATATCAGCATCTTTTCAACATGCTGAAATGTACATATCTGATTCCTGTTGGCTTTTACTGAGTTTGAGTCTCACAGCACAGAAGCTTAATCAAAACTAGTGCTAAAATTTCCACATAACTGACTGTCAATTATAGATGTTTATATTGTAATCTCTAGCAGCTCCAATTTCTTCCTGTAATGTAAAGCATTTATTCTAAACTGAATTCTAAACCTAATTAACTCTTCTTCAGACATTGTCTTATTCTTATATTAACTAATGTATTTATCTTAAATTAGAGGTCCAGTTTGACAGTCCTGGAGATCACTTGGAAATGTTATGATAATAAAAATAAATAACAATTGAGCATCTATGTTTGGCTTTGTGTTACGGTCTTTACATATACTGTCTTCTTTAAGCCTTATAATTTTGGAAAGTGAGTGATATTTATATTCCCAAGGTTATATAGCTGGTAAGTGCCAAGACTGAGACTTGAACTGAATCTGGCTGTAAAGTCCCTGCCCTCACTCCTGCACTATGGTGTGCCCATAAAGAAGCGTTGTATAAGATAGGCCCTTAAATTTCACCAAAGCTGGAGAAGAGGTCTTTGAGAATTCTAAGATTCACAATACCACCATAGAAAACTATTTACCCAAGTCGTTTCCTAAGTTAATTCAATAACTTGCTGACTCTTCTGCAGACCAACCTCAACTTCTACTAAATTCAAATCTATACCTGACATCATAGACTGCATATTGTAGGCCATTGAGTTCATTCTCTGTCATCTGCTTAATTCATTCAACAAATGTTGAGCATCTGATCAATAAGACAAGATCCTTGTCTTTATGGAGTCTTTAGTGGGGGAAAACTGTGAATGATAAGTCTGTAACGAACAAGAGTCTAGTAGGATTCTTTGTGGTTTTCATATACATGTAAATGTGGTTGAGCTTATACAGGTCACTCAAACAAGTAAGACATCTTTTAGGATGTGAAAATGGGATAATGTAGGAGGTTCCTAGACTAAGAGACTTCTTGGGAAGGCCCAAGAGCAACCATCCTAAACACGTGGAAGGACCAGGGGAAAGCGTTGTTGAAAGACATGAAGTCATGTCAAGGAAATATAGTACTATGAATTTTGAGATACTGAGGAAATAACATTTGTACTGCTAGGTTTCTTTGACTTACATATTCCTGTCAGATAAGCGTTAGAGTACCCTGACAATCACTGGACATTTGAAACTGAGGTACGATTTCAAACCTTTCCAGGAAAAGGGTGAGTAATAGCAGTTCTGGAATGCTTCGGATAACCTTCCTATCCTCATCTCCCAGTACCATTTTAGCTTTCTGAACTCTTGTAAAGAGTTTGAGTGTTTGCAACTTTTTATATCAAATTTTGTAAAGAAGGAGGGAAATGTATACTTTTATGATTATTGCTATTAAAAACCAAGCAAAAATAATAATTTGTAGTCCATTGCTCTTATTACTCATGGTATAGAGCTTAATGTTTGCTTTTAACTTTAAATTACTCTGCATTCTAGATTGGGGTAGAGGATTTAAACTGATTTTTAAGAGAATTTTTATGAGAAACAAACTCTAGTTAACTATTCACCAGAGGCTTAAAACTGAGATGTTGGACTGATGGATACAGCAAACTGCCATGGCACATGTATACCTGTATAACAAACCTGCGCATTCTGCACATGCATCCCAGAACTTAAAGTATATAAAAAAATTCACAAGAAAATCCAAATGAAAGGCTCTTTAATTATTTATTATAATAGCTGCTGAAAATACAAATGGATTAACTATTTTATTAAAAGTCACTACCAGCCAACCTACTAGAAATCTTAAGATAAGTGTTACCATAACACTTTTTTTTTTTTAATTTAAAGAAGTATCTCTAGGTTATTTCCAAGACAATCTACTTTAGTTAACACTTAGACTTTGTTCAAATTTATTAATGGATTTTTTTAATAAAGGAAAATTCAATTAAGGTACACAACAAAGAATCAAATGAAAAATAAACATTTTGAAGTTCAGAAAGAGTGATTTTCGTCAGGAATATCTGTAAAAATTCCAATTGCCTATATTTACACTAGAAATACTCACCTATGCTCTCATTCTCTCAAGCTGTGGAAAAACAATTAGTTTGTCTGTATAATGCAATTTGGAAGTCATTTTAGGGAAATAATACTGTCATCTTTATTAGAAGAATAAAAATAAATCTTTCTATTAGGTTCATATCTTAACAGTTTAAAAAGTACTGTGACTCTGGAATTGATTCTGGACTTGCATTTGCTTTCCATTACTAGATACGTGTTCTTGGACACATCTCTTCCCTTGGCAGTGCTTTTGCTTTAAAATAGGGTTAAGCATAATAATTATCTTACAAGTTAGTTGAGAAGATCAGATGGGATAATGTACACAGCTTAGATAATGTCTATAAACTAGCAAATCCAATATGAATTATATATATAAACACATACTCATAAAAGTTTTTTTTAGATTGGTTCCTCTAAATAGAAAAGGTGTTTTCCCACAAATTCTACATGGATTTCTTCAAAATCTGGTGACTTTATAACTATAGAAGAAATATTTTATGATTTAAAGTAATAAACTCCTTTAGGAGTTTCTACAACTGGATAATATAGAAAGGAGGGATATATTTAAATGAAAACTTCCCTGAAGGGGAGTTGGGATAGAGCAGAACCCATCCAGGAATTATGTGGGATAGAGGACGTACATCTAGCACACATGCCCATCAAGGAATTATGTGGGATAGAGGACATACAGTTAGACATTCAATAGGACATGTGTGCTAGATGTGTTCTGCTTATTTTTGCCTTAAATAACCTTTTGGTATTTCATAGAATATTGATTTTATAGTGATAAGTATATTTAAGTTAACAGGAAAAATAAACCTCTCCCCACTAACCAGTTATTTATTTTATTACCTGCCAAGAGATCTGAAGTTAAAAGATGTTATCTTGTTTTACTTAATCTGCTGGCATTTATGGAGTCCCAGGCTCACATGGAGCACTAGGTGGAGTCACTTGGTGGGGACAGGGGCAAGTTCAATAGAAGGTATTATTGTTACTCTTAAGGAGCTTATGATCCAGTTGAAGGAATGCGCATCAACAATTGAAACAATGGAAAACCCATTTATGAACCACGATGCCAGTAAGAATAAATTGATAAAGAAATTGCTGGCCTGGAAGAGAGATAATGGGTCCACATATTTTAAATTCAGATTTTCTGCTTTGGGATGGTATGTTGCACTCAGGATGTGTGTGGATATCAAAAGTGTGATTTGAAACTTTCTCATCTTACAAGACTGGTTCTATTCCCTCCTGTTACCTTTTCCCTATAAATTGTACACATGATACATGTGTAGGCCGACTTATAGTTTAGCTTATGTATGTTCATACTTACTGCAATAAATTGCATTTACTCTCTTTTACAGAATAAAGAGGAAAATAAACTCAGTCAAACTCTACCAAAGAGATGGTTGACTAGATCTGGAACAATTATTATAGTAGTTTTATTGGGCAACAACCAGTCTTTTGTTACATAGCGTGAAAAGTCCCATCTCATTCTGTTAAGTAACTAAATCATATTATTGGCTCTAACTATACTTTTAAAGTTAAAGTTTTCTGTCTAGAGAGCTCCACAAATAACAGGGCTTAATGAGTTCTAGCAAGCTACTCCTGGGTGAACTCACTACATCAGCCAGAAGAGGACAGGTCAACAATTCTCAAACTTCTGGGTTTTGGTTTCTTTACTTTAAAAATTATTGAGGACTTCTAAAGAGTTTTTGTTGATATTGGTTATATGCATTGATTTTTTTCATATTTGAAATTAAACTTAAGAACATCTGAAAACATTCATTAATTAAAAATGACAATAATAAATCTATTATATGTTAACTTTTTTTGGTAAAATACAAAAGTTTACAAAACAAAATAAAAATTAAATGAGGAAAGTGGTATCATAACACGTTTTTGAAAATCCCTTACTGCTTGTCCTAGTTAGTTCAGGCTGTTGTTACAAACTGCTATGACTGGGTGACTTAAACAACATTTATTTATCACAGGTCTGGAGGCAGGAAGTTCAGTATCAGGCTGCCAGCATGGTTGGGTTCTTGGTGAGGACCTTCTTCCTGGTTTACAAATGGTTGCCTTCTGGCTTTGTCCTCACGTGGAGGAGAGAGAGTGGACTCTGGGCTCTTCATCTTCTCATATAGGCACTAATCCCATCACAGGGACTCCACCAAAATGATCTCATCTAAACCTAATTACCTCCTAAAAGCCCCATTTCCAAATACCATCACACTGAGGATTAGGGCTTCAACATATGGATTTGCAGAGGACACAAACATTCAGTGCATATTACTTTTCTGGATTCTTATATCAGCTTCTGCAATCAGTCTGTTGTGATATCACACACTATTTAGCCTTTGGAAAACTCTACACTACATTTGTGAGAGAATAAGAGCAAAAGTGGAAATAACATCTTCATATAATTATGAAAATAAGTTTGACCTCATAGACCTCTTGAGAGGGCTTCAGTAACCCCAGGGGTCTCCAAAACACATTCTGAAAACAACTGGGCTAAGTTATAATATGATAATATTTAATTTTCAAATCTTGGTGACTTTAGCAGTAAAGTTTTTTTCGCTCCTTCTTCTTTCTCATTCAGTATCCATTATGTATCAGTTGGATATTTTGTCCCATGTCATTACGGTCCTTACTCTGGGACATAGTTTGGTGGAGCAGAAACTTTCTAGAACATTGATGGTAACCGTAGCAAAGAGAGAAGAAGGAATGGAAGAATATGAACTGATTCTTACAGTTTTCTCCTGCAACGCACCTATGACTTATTTCCTTAGCCAAAGCAATTCACATATTTAGTCTGACTTCATGAAGGCAGGAGTTATAAGCCTTCTGTGGGGAGAGACACAGGATATTAGTTACCACTAACACTGTCTATCATACCCACTAATATTTTTAAAGCACATTTGTGTGTCAAGTCATTAGATGGCTTATAGACTTTGATCCCAGTCAGAATTTAGTGAGGTTATCTTTATCTTTGCTGCCAAACCTGCTCCTTTTTCGGTTTGAAGAATTTAACAAAAGCCTAGTATATACTGAGTATTTAATAAACATTCATCATATAAAGGGACAAAAATGGAGTAATTAATAAAATATTTAAATTTTGGCATGTGCCTAAAATTCTCAGAATGTCCAAATACTGGCCAGGTTCATTATGGATCTTGGAAGGGTCTCGTTGATAATCTACATCAACCCCATTATTTAACAGATGATTCAGTTGAAGTGTGAATAAATTAAATAATGCTATTCTAATAGTACGTAT